CCACCCACCGCTCAGGGGTGGGGGCCAGGGGGGGGAGGACAGTAGGTCCCCCCCCCCTTATTGTTTTATTGGGGCCCCCACCCACCGCTCAGGGGTGGGGGCCAGGGGGGGGAGGACAGTAGGTCCCCCCCCCTTATTATTTTATTGGGGCCCCCACCCACCGCTCAGGGGTGGGGGCCAGGGGGGGGAGGACAGTAGGTCCCCCCCTTATTGTTTTATTGGGGCCCCCACCCACCGCTCAGGGGTGGGGGCCAGGGGGGGGAGGACAGTAGGTCCCCCCCCTTATTGTTTTTTGGGGCCCCACCCACCGCTCAGGGGTGGGGGCCAGGGGCCAGGTTCCCCCCCATCTTTATTTGGGGCCCCCCGGCATGGGGGGAGTGGGGGGGGGTTATTAGTTTTTTGTTTGTTTTTTTACAGTGAGCAGCTATACGCTGCTCACTGCTTACTACACATGCCCCTACTCGCGGTATAGCGAGTAGGGGCATTTAAGTTACTAATACTAAGTAATCTTTACTTAGTATTAGTAAATTTGGCTGTTAGACCAATTTAGGTCTTTCAGCCTTTTAGTAGATAGCTCCCTGATACCGTGGGAATTAGGGAGTTATCTACTAAACGGCTGCAAGATGCAGCCACAGCAATGAATAGGATAAGAGTTTCATTCATTAGAATGAAATTCTGATCCGAATAAAGTGCCGAATTGTGTTCTAACAGAAACGAACAGACTGTTGTCATTCAGTTAGAACGCAATTCGGCAGTTTAGTGTAAAGTGACAGGAAGCATTGTGGGAACACTGAGGAAAGCTAGGGATCATGGGAAAATTGCTCTGACCAGCGGAAATGAAGCACACTTTGCTACTCCGCTGGTCAGAGCTGGTCAAGCGGAGGAATCCTCCATAAGGCAAAGAGTCCCTACTTTGTCTTATGATTTTAAAGAAAACTAAAGAAGACAGGAAGAAAAGAATAACAGATCCTGAGAGAGGGGGAGAAGAGGAAGAGATTGAGGAAAGGTAAGTTCGGCATGACAGTGCCGCTTTAACTTCCTCTAATAAGGGGAGGAGTAATGTCACTGAATGAGGATTGGACTGCAAGGAGAACTTGGCCTTGGTGCTGGATTGCATTTCATAATTAATTTTTCTTTAAATTGTGGGATGGGGACCGTGTCAGCAAAGGTCGCTCCAGCCAAAAACAAAGTAAAATAATCTTAATCTCTGTCTTTGTGCCTAGTATTTATATGCACTGAAAGAAAACAAAATTGTATATCTCTCAAAGTTCTTAATTGCAAAAAAACAAAACCACCATACTTTTATTTAAAAACAAATAACATTTTGTGAAGTTTTTTTATCAAGACAATTTTGATTCTTAACTTTGTTCTATGTTTTGCATGTGCTGGTACCTACAACTATATATTAAATATCTAAGCTTGATAAACCTTTGAGTTAAAAAGTGTAATAAGTAACCTATTTACTATTGCCTCATAATTGAATTTGACCATTTTGTTCAATCCAGCTAAATATGTGACGTGATTTGATTTCTTTAATTATTGTGCATTATTTTTTGATTGCTTGTTTGCAGTTCATTTACCAGACATTGCTGCTTTTAACGGCGATTATGTGTTTCTGATGGACTTGGGCACCGCCAAGATTTTTGTAACATTGTTTTTGGTTCATCTGCTTGTGCATTTGATTTCGGATGAAATTCGAATTTATGCCGCTGTTGCACTTATCAGCCATTTAACAGATAAATCAGTTGGCACCCTATAGGGTCAGGAACGAAAACATGTATTCCTGACCATATAGTGTTAAAACCACCATCCCTCCATGCAGAGGGTGGAGACACTGAATATCAGTGCTGCACAGTGTGCAGCCCTGCCCCAGGAAGCACATCTTGTAGCCATATGAGAAGTGGCCAGTGGAAGTATCCCTAGGCTGTAATGTAAACACTGCATTTTCTCTGAAAAAAGTGTTACTTGCAAAAATCTTGAAGGAAATGATTATACTCACCAGAACAAATACATTAAGCTATAGTTGTTCTGGTGACTATAGTGTCCCTTTAGGCTTACCAATTTAGGAAGCTCTTTAGTAGTTCCTTTTTGGCATGCTTTATGGCAATCTTACATAAGGTTTAGGGAGCTATCTCCTAAACTGAAAGACCAAAATTACAAAAAGTCTTTCCTTTTCTTAATTTTTGTCTTTCAGACACCGATACTAGTGTGAAGTAAAAACTAGTGTTCGTAAATAAGGGATGTTAAGTCCTCCCTCATGCCCCTAACTGCTATGGCGCAAGTAGGGGCATGTCTATTAAACCGCAAGCAGCCATCTCTCTGGGGCTCCATGCAGACTGAGCTTACAAAGGCTTTACCACGCTGTACCATTTGAATCAGAGCACTCTGGTTGGCTATCTGGGGAGAAGGTTTTTTTTTTTTTTTTTAATGTGATGCGACCTTATGATTTTTATTTGGCTCTTTTTTTTTTATTTTTTGTGCTGAAGAAAAGATGATGGAAAAATAATTTAATGGCTAATATCAAATGTTTATTTTACTGATATTTAGTTTATTGGGAAAAGGCAGTGTTTACATTACAGCCTAGGAAACCTCTAGTTAGTGGCTACTTCTCGGACAGTCACTAGAGGTGCTTCCTGGGTCAGTGCTGCACAGTGTAGAGCACTGACATGTAGAGCATGGAGATGCTGAACTTTATAGAGGTGTATTGATTCAATGCATCTCAGTCAGGAGATGCTGATGGGCCAGGGTGGCTTCCCCGCCCACCTGTCAACAAAGAAAGCGGGTCAGGGCACAGCCATATGTGAGGAGATCCGCATGGTGCAGGAAAAATGTGAGTAAACAGTGATTTTAGAACTACAGTGTCAAGAATACAAGTTTGTTTCTGACACTATAGTGCTCCTTTCAGTGCTCCCACCACTTCCAATTGGTGGGGGCTGACCAGACCATTGCTTCACCCCCTTTATTTATTAGAGCTTGCACCCGCTGCCAGTGTGTGGGGTGAAGGGATTACACCCCACACATCCTTATAAAGAGCTGCCTTTAATGGGTGGGGACTGTGGAGAGCAGTAGGTCCACCCCCCCCCCCCTTTTTTTATTTGGTTCCCCCACTTGCAGCCAATGGGTGGTTCTGTTGTAATACTGTGTCCCCCTCCTTTTATTTTAATATCTCCCACTCATGGGACACTGTTTCCCATCCACTTTATTAGTGGCTTATGTTTCCCGGCATGGGGTACCTGTGCCAGGTCTCCTTTTTTTTTTGATTAGTGACTGGGCAGCACCAGTTGCTCTGTTTAGTAGCCACAACAGGCAGGGGCTGAAAGGAGGATTTAACCTCCCTTATACTAATATGGGGTCAAACTGACCCCTCATAGACATAGGGTGAAGGGGGCATGGGAGGGTTGTGGAAGATGTGGGAAGCTGTTTAATTTTAGATATTACAAGGAGCTGGTTGAAATATTATAAGGAGCATGGACAAAATTTTGTTCAAAAAGCAATTTGTTCTTGATTTCATTCATTGTAAATAACAAAATAAGAACTTCTAAACTAAACTCACTCTGCTTTGATAAAAAAATAAAATGCTTTTTTGTCTGCCGTCACATTCTATAAGTGTTTTTAACTCTTAAAGGACTCAGAGTTAAAGTGGCTTTGTAACTTGTTTGGATTTAGTTTATTTATTTTGTCTTTAGCATTTTCAACCCTTCAGCTGTCCTATGTGTTTTTTATTTGTGGTGTTTGAAAATAAGCATCATCATCATAAAAAAAAAAAAAAAAAAGTTCTACATAAGGAAAAGTAGGGAATTTAATCAAGTACCAAGTCCTTTGTCTGGTTTATCATTGGCTATCTTGGTCAATATTCTCCTCCCTCCAACATCACATAACCTCTGGCAGCAGTATGTCATGGATCACCAGCATTGACTTTTGCAATAATGAGTCAACAGAGGTCTAAGGAAACCACCAGATTTCACTGGGCATGTGCATGATTTCATGTGCGCTCGCTAGGAAGATCGGATTTGTCAGCTCAGAAATGCTAAGATGGCGGCGCTGTGAAAGTAGACCTGGTCGGTGTTGCACAATGGCAAAAAAGGTAGGTTACACCAGTCCCAAGGCGTTAGAGGGAGAGGATACCTAGGTTGTGGGCCGAGCAAGAAATTTTATGAGCCAATGTTTTTTTATGAAGTTAGACAATTGCTTAGTCCTTAGATGGTTAAAAGCTTGTGAACTTTTTTTTATTTTTTATGTAAATAAAACATTATTTAATTGCAGTGATACGGACTCAGATTCATCATCTTCCTCTTCTTCCTCATCCTTGTTGTCAGTAATACTTAAAGTAGACGAAGGAGATGAGCCAAATGGAATGAATGAGATCCCCTTGAAGACAAAGGATGAAATTCTTCTAGATGTGAGTCTGTGTATGTTTGGATATCATAAGCTGGTTTATTGTGTGTTCATTGTGTTGGATACTTTAGTGTTTTAGATAATCCAATTTACTTAACTTGCAATCTAGACTTTTTATAATTTTATTTACTGTTAACGTGAATCTGTCATCATTAAAATGATCAGCTTTCACTCTGGTAGGTAAATCAGTTTAAAGGGACACTCTGAGCACAAATTTTTTTTTTTTGTCTGCTTGTGCATTTGATTTCGGACAAAATTCTGCCATTATTTTAGTTTTGCTATTTCATTCGGACACTTGTGGGAATGCCATATTTAAAGGAAAACTATAGGGTCAGGAACAAAAACATGTATTGAGGAGGCATAGCTGCCTCTGCCGATGTCCAGGCCATTGCTCCTCATAGAGGAACTTTGGGGACTTAAAGCATGGTGAGCATGCATTCAAACTTCCCTATAGGAAAGCTTTGACTCACTGCTTTGCTATGGGGCTTCTGTGTTACGTGACCATTTTACCCAGCCACTGGCGCAGATCTGCCTTTAGTGGCTGTTATACCGACAGTGGCTAGAGGTGCTCTTTACTCTACAATGTAAAGGTTGCAGAGTTAAGAGGACAGGGACCATTTAATTGAGAAGAAACCTTCTGGTTAACTATAGTGTCTAGGTTGTGTTTTTGCATGCTCAAATCTTTGTCTTTGCACATGAGGCAGGCTTTTGGTGCCACATTCTGCAAAAAAACATTTAATTTTCATTAGCCACTCCAAAAGTCCAACCCCTTACCCCACTCCCCCCATATAAACCACAGTTTTGTAGATCTGCTCCCAATGAATGCATGCGTACATTTTTTTTTTTTTGTAAGCCCTCCCCTATTTTCCCAGAATAGCCTTTCAGTCTCTTCACAGGAAAATAACAGATCAGAAGCCTCTCACTTAGTAATCCCGTGTATATGGTTATGTGCACGCACACGTGCCTGTTGTGTAGAGTGGTCCTTTATATGTGGGGATAAAAGATGTCATTATCAAATCTGTAAACACACCTCTGCCACTAGTGATCCGAAGAACAAAACAACCTAAAATAGGAGGAGAGGACACCCAAAAAGACATGAAATGGGATATCACTCCTTTTTGGAAATTTCTCTGTCTGCAGCCAGATCGTAAATTAAGACTGTGTGATATATTTGAGTGCAACATTCTGCAAAAATATGAAGATTTGATCATAAGATCAAAACCTATTAAATGCATTAATGTTTGGTGTAACGGACCGTTTCAGCACACAAGGGGTTAAAACCGTTTAGGCGATCTTCCCCTTCCAGAGATGCAGGCACAGCTTCTGTAGAACACCAAACTCCCGAACCGCATGTAAGGGAATGCTCCAATCTCCCGAACTGCATACAATATAGCACTCCAAACTCCCAAACTGGAACCATACGAATAGCTGCTAGCAGACAAATAGGAAAAGCACCCATGCGGCTTCCACTCCTAGCAATCAGTCTCTATCAGCATTCAGTAAATCCCCCCCCCCCCCAAAGACGAGACAAGGCTCCGTGTTGTGGGTCAAGCAGTGGTCTCTTTAATGAGGGCTACCAGCCCAGTATTTATGCAGGTCTCACACCTGGTGCACACTCCCCTAGGGGACCAAATTGGAGACTGTAACAAAGAACAGACAAGCATCCATCTAGGACACACAGTCACATTATATTCCCACAATGCATCTTGGCTTCCTCCTCTCTGCCCTGGAGATAATTGAGAAGTAATTCAATTATCTCTCAGGACAAAGGCAAATCGCCATTATGCACGTGGGGATACCAATACAAGAATTACTGTTAAAATCCCCCATGTTAGAAAGATCACAATACATATATACATTTAACATATCCCCAGATAGCTCAGGTCTGAGCGCACATTATTAAGCGAATGGCGCTTGTAAAGGATCCTTCTATTCGTGCAGCAATGATCCTTGCAGCTTCTCCCGAAATCCAGCTTATACGAAGTGATTATAACTCCCAATCCCCCAAACATGAGTCGAGACTTCATGAAGGGGTAAAACGATCTGATTTACTGTGGGCTACCCGCCCGGTATTTATGCAGGTCTCCCACCTGGTGGACACTCCCCTAGGGGACCAGATGGAAGACTTGTCAGGCTCCCGCGGGCGGCTGCGAAGGGAGGCTGCACTCCGCTCGCAGTACTCACCCTCCAGCCGTCCGCGGTCCCCTCCGCCTCGTGGGTACGGCGAGCGGCATCCTTCCAGCCTCGGATGCCGCCCGCCGTTCCCTCCACGTCCCCCAGCGGCAGCAGCATGCATGACGCTGCACGCTGGGAGACCGCCCAGGTTTATACACGCCGGGGTCAGTCACCTGACCCGGCGTTAAAGGCACAGTGCCTCAATCACAGTGGGAGGTCTAAATATCTCCCACGTGTGATTGTTAATTCTGATTGGAAATTATTCAATCAGAATTAACCTGATGGTTTAAATACTTACCTTTCCTGTTCCTCCCTGCCCTGTTGTGGTCTTTGCTTGCTAGTATTGCTACTTACCTTGTGCTTCTGGTTACGTACTCTCTGGCTTGTTTATCTGACTCTGTGACTTTCTCCTACCCTTTGACCTCGGCTCGTTTCACGTTATTCTGTCTTCTGGTTCCCCTTTACTCGGCTTGTCTCCTGACTATTCTGTGTGTGCTTAGCCCGGCCACTCTAAGGTCCGGTACGACATCCATTTGGTGATGAATCCACGCTCCTATCCCACTGACAGATCTAAAATTGCCTTTTTGATAAACCACTTGTCCGGGAGAGCTTTAGCATGGGCCAACCCCATTTGGGAAAATACGTCTCCTATGTCCTTTGCAGATTTTCTGACAGCTTTCAGACTCACGTTTGATCAACCCGGTAGGGTTGCTTCTGCTGGCAAGGCTCTGCTTAGGGTCCGACAGGGTAACAGATCTGTAGCAGATTACACTATCGAATTTCGTACTCTAGCAGCTGAAGTGGTTTGGAATAATGACGCCCTCGTAACAGCCTTTCAGGAGGGTCTGGCCGCGTATATACTGGATGAAATAGCATCCAGGGAATTACCTGCTCTTCTAGATGATGTTATAGACTATGTGATTCTTATAGATAACCGTATTAGAGAGAGGCGTAGCCAAAGACGGTTGGATACACAGGTGTTACCTGCTCTACCCAGTACTTCCCTGCTAGCGTTACCCGCTCCTGTGCAACCATCCCCTGAACCCATGCAGTTGGGTGCTACGGGGTTAACTGAGGCCGAAAGAGCGTACCGTAGAAGGGAAGGGTTATGCCTTTATTGTGGGAAGAGGGGGCATCACTGTAAAGCCTGCCCTAAAGTACAGGGAAACTGCAGCACCTAAGGCCTAGAGAGGGGTCGGCCTCGGGTGTTATGACTTTGTCCCCTCTTATGTCCATCTCCAGACCGTTTATTACGGTTTCTCTTTTGGTCAATAAAACCACTATAACAACCAAAGCCCTGATCGATTCGGGTGCGGCAGACAACCTTATGGATGAGACCTTTGCCAAAACCACAGCCCTGAATTTGATCCGAAAGGAGACACCCTTGGCCGTTGAGGCCATAGATGGTAGACCACTGGAGAAGCCTCTGGTGACCCATGAAACCCAGGAAATAGTTATGTCTGTGGGTGTTTTGCACAAGGAGAAGTTAACCTTCCAAATAATTGACTCCCCAACAGCCTCCATCGTTCTAGGTTTTCCCTGGTTAGTTAAACACAACCCTGTTCTTGATTGGGGTTGTTTAGACATACTCTCCTGGGGGGAATCTTGTCAGCGAGACTGTATGGCTCATGTGCGTCCTGTCTGTTTACTTAACGTGCCCACGGCTAAACCACTCTCGGTTTCTGTTCCCTCTGTTTATGCAGACCTTGCCTTGGTTTTTGAAAAGAGGGAGGCAGATAAGCTACCTCCACATCGTGAGTATGATTGTGCCATAAACCTCTTACCGGGCACTATGCCTCCTAGGGGAAAGGTCTACCCTCTTTCTGAAAAAGAGAACCAGATCATGGAGGAGTACATACAGGAATCCCTAAGAAAAGGTTTTATTAGAAGGTCCTCCTCTCCTGCTGGTGCTGGTTTCTTTTTTGTGGCTAAGAAGGAGGGCGATTTGAGGCCATGTATAGACTACAGGGGTCTGAACAATATAACGGTTAAAAACGCCTACCCTATCCCCCTCATCACTGAGTTGTTTGATCGTGTTAAAGGTTCTAAATTCTTCACCAAATTAGACCTCAGGGGGCTTATAACCTTGTCCGTATAAAGGAGAATGACGAGTGGAAGACAGCGTTCAACACACGCAGTGGGCATTACGAATATCTGGTCATGCCTTTTGGATTGTGTAATGCTCCTGCCGTGTTTCAGGACCTCATAAATGATGTCCTTAGGGATCTTTTGCATGTCTGTGCTGTAGTGTACCTTGACGACATACTTGTGTATTCTCCTGATTTGAAGTCACACCATAACCATGTTAGGATGGTGCTCAAAAGGCTATTGCAGAGCGGACTCTACTGTAAGTTAGAAAAATGTTTATTCGATCAGACCTCTGTGCAATTCCTAGGATATATCATTACTGAACAGGGTTTCAGTATGGATCCTGCTAAATTGGAAGCTATAATGTCCTGGCCACTTCCCCAAGGACTAAAGGCTATCCAGCGTTTTATAGGATTTGCCAACTATTATAGGAAATTTATAAAAAACTTTTCACCACTCATATCTCCCATAACGAAGTTGACAAAAAAAGGTCTACACCCTAGGGTTTGGACTCCTGAAGCCCTTAAGGCCTTCGAAACCCTCAAGAAGGCATTTGCCTCTGCTCCAGTGCTGCACCACCCTGATCCTTCTCTTCCTTTTGTTATGGAAGTAGACGCCTCGGAGTCAGGTGTGGGAGCCGTACTGTCACAGAGGTTGTCTTATGACAAACCCCTCCATCCCTGTTGTTATTTTTCTAAAAGGTTGTCTGATTCAGAGAAGAATTACAATGTTGGGAACTATTAGCTATTGTGTTAGCTTTCAAGGAATGGAGGTACTTATTAGAGGGTTCTAGACACAAAATTATGGTTATAACAGATCATAAGAATCTATCCTATATTGCTGATGCTAGAAGGTTATCTGCCCAGCAGGCTAGATGGTCTCTATTTCTCTCACGCTTCCAATATGTTATCACCTATAGACCTGGTTGCCGTAATGTCAAAGCTGACGCTATCTCTCGGCAGCATGAACCAGTAGAATTTGTTAACCCGACTCCTGAACCTATTGTACCTGCGTCTCAGATAATAGCTGCTACCCGTTTGGTTGTTTCTTCACCTTTCCTTAATAGTATTAAGACATAACAAACCCAGGCACCCCCTGAGACGCCGGTTGGTAAACTATACGTTGAAGCTAATGACAGAAAAAAGTTGTTAACTTTATTTCACACAGCCAAAACTGCTGGTCATCCGGGGGTTACCAAAACCTACAAGGGCCTCCTTCAACAGTTCTGGTGGCCTTCACTCAAGCGAGACGTAGTGGATTTTGTTCAGGCTTGTCAGGTCTGCACGCAATGTAAGTCCCTTAATGTGAGACCCCAGGGTTTTCTGATGCCTCTATCTATACCCAAGAAACCATGGACCCACTTATCCATGGATTTCATTGTAGACCTGCCTCTTTCTGATGGTCAGACGGTGATACTGACTGTGACGGATAGGTTCTCTAAAATGGCGCACTTCATTCCGCTTAAGAAACTGCCTTCTGCGGTTCAGTTAGCTCAGGTGTTTGCCAAAGAAGTGTTCCGATTGCATGGGGTACCCCAGGATATCGTATCTGACAGGGGCCCTCAATTTGTCTCTCGGTTCTGGAGGGGCTTTTGTGCTGAGATGGGGGTCTCCTTGTCGTTCTCTTCCTCCTATCACCCGCAATCTAATGGTGCGGCCGAACGTGCTAATCAGTCTGTGGAATTGTATTTGCGCTGCTTCACTAATGCGCACCAGGATGACTGGTCTCGCCTTCTTCCGTGGGCTGAATTTGCCAGGAATACGGTGTCTCATTCGTCTACTGGCTTAAGTCCTTTTGAGGTTGCTTATGGGTTTCGTCCTTCTGTCCTTCCCGGTGCGTTCTCCGACAAGGGAATGCCCGCCTTGGACCAGCACCTCGCCTCTTTGCGGAAGACGTGGGATCAGGTCCATGTTGCGCTGTCTCGTTCAGCAGCTGCTCAGAAGAAGTTTGCTGATCGCCGTAGGGTTGCGGCCCCTTCTTATCTTCCGGGTGATAGGGTATGGTTGTCCTCCCGGAACCTCCGTCTCAAGGTTCCCTCGATGAAATTTGCCCCCAGGTTTCTTGGTCCCTTAAAGGTGTTACGTAGGGTTAACCCCGTTTCCTACTCCCTTGATCTGCCTCCTTCCATGCATGTCCCGAACACGTTTCACGTATCGCTTTTGAAGCCCTTGCTGTGTAACCGGTTCTCTCGTCCCCTCGGGCGGCCCGTTTCCCTTCGAGCTGTCTCTGACGACGTGTACGAGGTGGCTGCCCTTCTCGACTCTTGTGTTTCTAGGGGTCGGCTGCAATATTTGGTGGACTGGAAGGGGTACGGCCCTGAGGAGCGGTCCTGGGTTTCAAGCTCCGATGTGCACGCTCCCTCTTTGGTCCGCTCCTTTCATGCCCGCTTTCCTTTGAAGCCTTCCGCTTCCCGCCCCCTGGGCGGTCTTCGAGGGGGGGGTAATGTCAGGCTCCCGCGGGCGGCTGCGAGGGGAGGCTGCACTCCGCTCGCAGTACTCACCCTCCAGCCGTCCGCGGTCCCCTCCGCCTCGTGGGTACGGCGAGCGGCATCCTTCCAGCCTCGGATGCCGCCCGCCGTTCCCTCCACGTCCCCCAGCGGCAGCATGCATGACGCTGCACGCTGGGAGACCGCCCAGGTTTATACACGCCGGGGTCAGTCACCTGACCCGGCGTTAAAGGCACAGTGCCTCAATCACAGTGGGAGGTCTAAATATCCTGACTATTCTGTGTGTGCTTAGCCCGGCCACTCTAAGGTCCGGTACGGCACCTTTTGTGTGTGTGTGTGTGTGCCAGCGTGTTGGGTTCCCCGAATCGTGACAAGACTGGGACAAAAGTATCACAGTAGCCAATCACAGTGACTATAGCATAAGCACTCCCCTTTTACCTAAATCACTCCCTCTTTTCCACCCTGGAGATAATTAACTTAAGTGAGTAAAAAGAGTCTTAATTATCTCCAGGTAGAAAGAAACATGGCTTTTCTTATTTTAGCAAAACCGTATAAAAATCTATAACTTTCATTTTACATAACATAAACTTTAAGTCTCACATATCCCCAGATAGCTTGGATCTGAGTGCATATTCTAGGTGAATAGCGCTCAGATCCCACGAACACAGTTCTCAGAAACGTTGACTGAAGTTTGGCTTTTGCCGGCCGTTCGTGTGATTGTAGCCGACTACAAGTTCCATACTGTAGCTATCTGGGGTCGGTTACTTTCACATACATCCAGCGCACGAATGAAGCAGCATCTCCGTCATTCGTGTGTGTTTCCACCGTACGAACGAGGATTTGAAGAGGTAGCCGCGGTGTTCGACAAAATAAGGAGCGAAATTAGTTCCAGGGAATCCTCGCCATTTACCGCTGAGCGTTCGACAATCCAAAATGGCGATTGCCACGTGTTCGCTAAATGAAAGCGGACCACCAGCTATTCCCCAATTAGTCTGTGGTTAACCGCATCAGTCTGGGTGGTTAATAGGCACCACACGACCTCGGTGGGAGGTCGGGTGGTTCGGTAGTTCATTCGTTTTTCTCGCTATTTGCACCAAATCACTCTATAACCATCCAAATAACCGAACAGGCTGGTTCACATGGTCTGTTTTAATAAGGGATTTCGTTACAGCGCTCAGACCACACGAATACAGTTTAATCGCCATGGAGCCAAAGTGTTCACAAAGTCAGTTCTCATACGAATGAGCTCCACGGGATTCCTATCTGGGGTATGGTGTAGTCAGGTACAACTACCGAATACAGGCCATTCGTGCACTTCTACCGAACAAGAAGGGAGGTCGACGGCTTCAGCGGTGTTCGTGCCAAAATGCATCCGTTTTCAGTTCCATGAGTTGGGCGTCGAACACCGCTGTGCGTTCGCGTGTTTAAAATAGGCCGCGACCTCGTGTTCGGTATACGAATGGCGGCCACCCAGTATTCGTCAATTAAGCTGCGGTTAACCGCATCTTCTGGGAGGCTAATTGCCGAAATAAACTCCAGCTCCCAGGTGGTCCAGTCATTCCTGTGTTAGTTCGGTAGATTGGATCTACCGAATACCGGGCAGAAAAGCACGAATAAGTCTTTTCTGCAAGGGAAACAAAGTCTTTTAACATGGGGCCATAATTCAAAGGTAACAGGCGAGCAACCAGGCTTCTCCAGTGCAATGTGGCGAGATTGCTCTTGTCACATTTGGTGCCTTGAATGTCCCTTTAATATTGTGAAACTTACACATTGTGTTACCTACAGCCTACCAAGTCCTTGAAGATGGCCTTGGACTTCTTAAATAATTTGACTAGTTACACTGGTGGGCACTCTTTTCCCCATAGCTACTTCAGCAAACTGGGGTTGTTATGGTGCTTGAAGTATGACTTTTTAATTACATCCATTTAGTATATGGGAAGTAGCCAAGCTGAAACTGTATCTTGTTACTTATAGCTATATGTGGTCATAAATCTGTTTAGGATATGTCAAGCAATTTAATATCCAAATAACATGTGCTATATGTTTTTATGTATTTTAATAAATTTTTCCGTCTGGATAATTTAATAAATTCTCTGCATTCATTTTCTGAAGCAGCCAAATACGTTTTGAAAATGTGTATAAAATGCAGCAGAAAATGGAATGCCAAGTGGTACTATTTCGCCAAGCCTCTTAGAACACTAGTGCATGAAATGGAAAAAATTCTTAAGTTCTGTTGAGGGATGACATAGCTTGACAAATCGCAGGTGCACACAAGCCATAGCTTCTAACATCAGAACAATTTTTTCCTCTTTCCTCTACTTGCAAGACAAATAATTGTTGGCGCTTGAATATGTTTTTCTGGCCATTGAACTTTGAAAACAATTGTCAACTCCTAAGGTATGACACATGTCCTGTATAATTGTATATGTAATCTACACACTATGCTAAATTGTAATGATAGACTTGTATATTCCCATCTTGCAATATGCATTTTTTTAAAAATCTGTATGGTGAAGTATTGGGGTTGTCAGTATGGCTTTTTTTTTTTTTTAACCCCTAAGCACTTCTTTGGACCGCTATTCTGCCCATGTGATTGTAACATCATCGCAATCACATGGCCTGGGAGGGCTGGATCAGCCGCAATGAAACCGCCTAAGATGCCAGGCAAGTCCACCCCCCCACCCCCCTTCATGATTGGCGGCGATCGGGTAAGTGGGAAGGATGGCGTAAACGCCCACCAGCGTTTAGGACCGGGTCCCAAAGGACAGTATAGTATGCACCCAGTCCTTAAGGGGTTAAAGGAAGACTTCAAAGACCATAACAACTACAGTTTGTTGTAGCTATGGTGTTAGCAATGTAAGAAGTCAAACCATTTTTCCTCAGTTTAACTTCTTACCTGAGGTCTGCTGGGTGCTGCTACCAGGATATTACCTCTTGAAGGAAAACTCCAAGCGCCATAACCATTATAGCTTGCCAAGAGCTGCTCACTGTCTCCATCCACTTCTTTTTTTGCTCTCATGAGCCAAGAGGTGCTCATGAGAGAACCGGGAACTTGATGTGCATATGCGGCAAGTATTGATTTGAGTTTTCTTATAAGAAAACATTGAATCAATGCTTTCCTATTGGGGCCGCAAATTCACTCGACCAAGTTTTATTTGGTCGTTTCAGCAGTAGCACCTCCAGTGGCAGTGTTCAACCCTTCAAGGTAAACATTGCGGTTTCTCTAAAATGGTAATAATTTACCTTGATTGGGTATATTGACAGGACCACTTCCCCTAGGCTACTTCATTGATGAAGTGGCCTTGATGACTTTAGAGGTCTTTTAATGTAGGGGATGGTCTGAAGGTAAAAAAATCAATTGTCCAAAGGGGAAAAAAAAATGATTAAAGCAAGTGCATGTGATAAAACTTTCTAGGAAAACATGGAGCCATAAGTGACTCATTTAACCATGATTTGGTTATGATTTCATTGACACCTAAAGGTTCCATATAAAGTTTGGTGGTATCTATATGTTGTTACAGGACAGTGTGTAAAATTGACATGCTGTCATAAAAAGTCAGTGACTGGAGGAGTCCCATATATTTAATTGTTCTTCTCTAGTAACATTATTTCTGTTTGCTGCTGGGTTACTAATTCACTCATGACTGCATGAGCAGTATTTATTTGCAAAAACAAAAAAGTTGTCCATGAAAACTTGACAAAGGTGGACGGACCTTCACTTGTAGTCTATTTTGGTGGTCAACTCTGACATGCACAACATGGTTAAAAGAAACAGAAAAAAAACAGAATCGCACTATTTACCTCATCATTTGCCAATTGATATTAAAATAATGAGCACATCATTAAGCCATTATTATTTTAATTATCCAATTAAAATGTTTAGTGCAATTAATGATCTGCTTGAGCTAAAACAGAACATTTAAAAATATTTGAAATAAGCTACGGTTCATATATACAAAACATTAGAGGCTAAATCAGGAAATATTTTCCACTTATCCTTGTTTTTTTCTTTGTTTTTTTTTCCTTCCTCTTTCTTTAATAGCAGGTCAGCGATCTTACGTAATTATATCAAGTGTTTTATTTTTTCTCTTTATTATCAAGGTATTATGATAAACAATCCATGCTTGGTACAACGGAAACATTAAAAGGTTATTCAGTAATTGTCATAGAAACCATAAAATTCAACAACACTCATTGAAGTGTATATATAAAGTAAACTCCTAACAGTTCCTGTGTTTTTATGCTTCATGACAGTGCTGCATCCTTTTTTTTTTTTTAAGGGCTGCAAAGTCTGAAGACCAACCCCTGGCCTCTATCATATATTCTGGATGGGTTGTTTTAGAGCGTTTTTGTTTGTGTTCATGTACTGAAAGGGTTAAATAGGTCAGCACTGGTATGCCTAAGATTAATGGGAGTTAAACACTTGAGTAGCACCGACATCACTATGACTGCAGCTAGAAATAGCTGCAACCCAGGACTATACCTTCACTAAATTTAGCACCAGAGTAAACTCCTCCTCTAAACCCTTAGTGTAATATATATTACACTGCACTGAAAGGAACCAGTCTTAAAAGATGTGTGCTTAGTGGCATGTTTTTATTTTGTTTATTATTATAGAAAAGTAGTCATTAGAAGTTGCTTTGAAAACAGTCATAAAGGGATACAAGCTCAGCATTAAAGGAACACTATAGTCACCTAAATTACTTTAGCTAAATAAAGCAGTTTTAGTGTATAGATCATTCCCCTGCAATTTCACTGCTCAATTCACTGTCATTTAGGAGTTAAATCACTTTGTTTCTGTTTATGCAGCCCTAGCCACACCTCCCCTGGCTATGATTGACAGAGCCTGCATGAAAAAAAAACTGGTTTCACTTTCAAACAGATGTAATTTACCTTAAATAATTGTATCTCAATCTCTAAATTGAACTTTAATCACATACAGGAGGCTCTTGCAGGGTCTAGCAAGCTATTAACATAGCAGGGGATAAGAAAATCTTAATTAAACAGAACTTGCAATAAAGAAAGCCTAAATAGGGCTCTCTTTACAGGAAGTGTTTATGGAAGGCTGTGCAAGTCACATGCAGGGAGGTGTGACTAGGGTTCATAAACAAAGGGATTTAACTCCTAAATGGCAGAGGATTGAGCAGTGAGGCTGCAGGGGCATGTTCTATACACCAAAACTGCTTCAGTAAGCTAAAGTTGTTCAGGTGACTATAGTGTCCCTTTAATACTCATGCTGTTTTATTCGAGCAATGCAAAGTTAAGTGTGTGACAAGATACGGTATATTCTCGACACAATTACACCGCAATCACATCCTTCTAGACAGCACAAAATGGATCAATTGATTCATGTCAAGTATGCCAAATTCCTCCACTAAATGCTTTAGTGTAGCATTGTTGGCTTAAAAACTCAGAAGCAATTGGACTGCAGATATTCCACTACCATGTTAGTAACAGACAGCAATAAGGGGGTGGGGTGACATCACAAGAGGAGGTTCAAGCTGCAGGGACAAATGCAGGAACAACTTGGCCTCTGTGCTAGATGATTTATTTTTTGTTTTTTAACTTTTATTTTTTTTTGACTTTTTTTTTTCCCCCGTATTGTTTTGTTTAGCTTTTGCAATAACCTTTTGATAACGAAGAGCTGTGCACAATAAAGATTTATAATTAAACAGTTCTAAAAATAAGCATCTGCAACTGTGCATAAACCGGTAAATAAAAGTATAGAAAGCACAACATTCTCATTTTCAATTGTTTTAGCCCCATGGCTTTGACTAAGCAGGAACAAAAAGATGAGACTGAAAAGAGATGGTTGCAATATAGATTTGGATGAAAAAGTAATTTAAAAGGTAACACCACAGTTGCTTTACTAAAACAGGAGTGGGTGGGAAGGAGACAACAGAACAAAAAATTAACAATGGTGTCTCTCATCTCGTTAGGGGTGGGAGGAGACTAAGGGAAAAGGCACACCAGCATGCCTTTTCCCTTAGTCTCTCCATACCCTGTCCTCAACCCAGCCTTTTCTCCTTAAGCATCCATTGTCAGGCTATTGCACATGAGCAAAATGCCACTCTCGCCCATCAGCATCCACTCATAGAGATGCATTAAATCAATGAGATTGGCAGCGCTCAGCATTGTGCAGCACTGACCCATGAAGCAACTCTAGTGGGAGTCTTAATGACTGCCATTAGAGAGGTTTCTAGGCAGTAATGTAAGCACTGCCTTTTTTCTGAAAAGGCTGTGTTTACATTAAAAAGCCTCCATCAACATACAGTTGACACCAGAACAACTACATTAGGCTGTAGTTACTCTGGTGATTTTAGTGTCTTTTATGGGGGATTTGGCCATGATACTGGAAACTTATCTGGAACAGAATTTGGGCAAGTGTAGTGCAGAGAGGACTGACTCCACACCTGCAGTATGGTTTTCCAAACTACCACTGCTACTGTAGCTAAAATAAAAATAAATTGTGAGAACTGATAGTTGAATAGACAAAGTAAAGGAAGCAAAGTACATTTGGATCGAAGTCCAGAAAGATTTAATTAATAATTGTGGCGGCCTACTCGTTAGTAGCTTGGATGTCGCCAACAAGGTCCCCTTCTCCCTTTTATTGCTATAAAATTAATTTAAAAATCTAATATTAATAAAATTATTGAAAAAAACTATTTTAAAGTCCTTTTTTATTTCGTTTTTTGGCCAACGGCATTGTGACAAATGCCCTGTGGTCTGGTAGTTTGCCACAAGCTCCTGGAGGAGACTGCTAGCCATCCTCTCCCGTCCCTCTTAGTGTTCTTTCCTCCCTCCTCCCCAGACCAGTAGTGTTCTTCCCCCCCCTTCCTCCCCAGTCCCAGTGTTCTTTCACCCCATCCCTTGTCCCATAGTGTTCTTTTCTCCTCCCCTCCTCTGCCCTATAGTGTTCTTTTCTCCCCCCCTCCTCTGCCACATAGTGTTCTTTTCTCCCCCCCTCCTGTGCCCCATTGTGTTTCCCCCCCCGATCCCAAGTTTAGTATTCTTGACTTTTCATGTTATCATTACTATCTTCCATTGTGATATATAATCATCTGAATTGTTAATGCAATCATGTCTGTTAAACTATTCACTAAAAAAATACTTTTTTTGTGTGGCAACTTTCACCTGTTTTCAGCCAAAACAGGATAGGCCCATTTTCAGATGAAAATGTTGGTGCATACCTACCCAGAACGGAGTCGTCTGGTTACTGGGAGGGGAAAGGGCTAATCACTACTCTAGCTTGTTTCAGTGTGGAGGATTCAACGGGGAAAGTCCTTGTAAGCGTTGTCCAGTGCCTGGGGGTGGATAGAGCGAGTCCCCCATTCGGCTCTAGGATGGAGCAGTTCCAGGACCCCAGTCAAGCCACAGCAACTGTGAGCAGAAGTGCTGCTGTTTGTCCTCTGTTCCAGCTAGGAAGTGGTTCTTGGCAGAGGTACAGCTGCTGAATTTTTGGTTCCGGCCCAGAATTTTCATTTTGGTGCATCCCTAATTATAATAAGTTCATATGTAGCTACTTGCTATGTACTGCTTGCGTATTTGTTTTTTGTTTTTTAAAAGTGATCTGTATTGCCTGTTTTTCAAGTTTTAAATTCTGAGTGTCTTTATTTATAAAAAAAAAAAAAAAGATGCTCTTTCTATAGCCATAAATTGTTTTAAAATGTTAGTCTGTCCTTTTTCCAGGAACTGCCAGCCATTGAAGAATGTTCTATTATTTTACCTGAAGATGTTGAACTGAAACAGTTTGGGATCGTCTCAAGCATTATTGAACAACTAGGTATGCTTACATGCATTTTAATGTGAAGTTACTTTTTTAAGTTAACATATATCTCAGCTATCCACCCATTTACTCTCATCTCCCATGTGTCGTTCAGCGTGAGCCTCCTTATCGTTGCCTTTTATTGCATGTCTCTCTCCCACCCCCTTTTTTCCCTTCTTGGATGGATTAGATTGGCCGAATGGCTCTATGCCGTTACATTCTATATTTCTATGTTTCTGTCTTTCGCAATATCTCCTTTGTGTTTGTCATTCCTGAACAAATGTATTTACACAATTGTTCTCCAAAACTGTTTCATTGTGTCCTATGTTTGGAAAAAGCACATAATAATATATACCAGGTTTTAGGCAACTGCCCATAGTTTTCTACAGTTTACTATGTGTCGTCTTGTGTTTTGGGAATAAGCTATAATCAGAAGTGAGACTTTCTTCTGCTTTAAGAATCTTCCTACTGAGCTACTCCGCCTGCGTACTGAGCTCTGCTGTGTGTTACCCTTTACCAAGTGTCATCTGATGTTTGGGGAAAGAGCTGTATCACTTCAGTGCTGTATTTTCCAGCAAGAGGAAACTTTTAACAGAGGTAATCTGCCAGAGTACTGATGCTCCATCAAAACATCTTCATCTCAGTGTCCCTAGGCGTCTTTTTACTTTACAGACTTAAGCCATTTTCCAACAATTTAACACTGAAGCTGTCCCCTGAAGTTGTTAGTGGGGCTTAGCGACTCTTAAGTGCTTAGAGAGGCACTTTAAAAATAACACTCAATCATACCTAATAATCTACTTACGCTCACCAAATACATAAACATAATTATCCACCTTAATGTATACATACACACAGTGAACACTATCTGAGGTCTTGATAAAGTCCTGTGAGGACAAAACGCGTTTACCAGGAATTTGAGTCTATTAGTGGATGGTTCAAAGGGCAAATCACTTTAACCGTGTGGAACACTGCGTCTTTTACTGAGGTTTACTCTGACTTTCAGGTTGACCGCAGGCGGCCATCGACTGATCGTTATTGTTGGAAGCATTGACCAGTATTAGCTGATTACGACTTCAGGAGGAATTTGGATTTGCATGTGCTACACTGGGCTGAGCCGTCAGATACTGCTGTAGTTGCTTTCCTTTTCCCTGGATATATAACTAGGACACATTATCAGGCACATTGCAAGCTAACTATTATATTTATTAGACATGTGCATTAGTTTTCGGACGAATATAATTTAGTCCGAAATGTCAGACTTTTTCATGTTCATTTACTAAAACATAAACGAAAGGCTTACATACGAAATATAAACAAAAAGAAAGGGCAAATGCCGAATGCATTACATTTTCGCTTTAGCTCTTTTGTTTAATAGACTCCGTTCTGCAGGGGAATTAATCCCCACAGCACGGAGGAGAAACAAAAACCGCTGGTTCTCCCTGCAGCCTGAGACTTGACCCGTGCAGGGCTGCAAGGAGACTATTACAAACACGGGTTAAGTGACTTAACCTGTGCTTGACGAAAATAACACTGCGCATGCTCCAAAAAAAGAAAGATGGAGTTGGCAGCGCTACCAGCTCCCTCCTTGTAATAAATAATATAATCCTGGATGTTAAGAGATCTTTGCTGCAAAAGTACAAGGTCCTTTAGGGAGTTTAACAAACTTTTTATCTTGTTTCATAGTCCTAGAAAAAGGTTTTATGGCATCTAAAGGCTCTCTGGCCAGATGGTTAAAATACTCCATTCGTTTGGCTTATTCCTCATCTAACGTTCCTACACCTATCTCCATTAAATGCAAAATGTAGATAAGGACTAGCGCTTGTTTCTAACTGTATGATATAACAATATATACAAAAACAAACAATCATATATAAAAATGAGCAGCTAAACATTCATGTGACTCCTTACAATATCACTAGACAAATGTACAAACAAAAATAGAAAAAGAATGTAGCGCTTTAATAATAAAGAATGTAAATATCACCTTATTTTATGTAAGGGAGGAAAATTCTCACTTAGGTCCCAAATAAGTAGAGATCTATAAAAGATAATCACAGCATAGTGCAGATGGTAGATAGCAAAAACATATATATTTATGTATAAATTATAAACACTCACAAACCAAGAGCTGCGAACTCAGCTCTAGTTTGAATCACTTCTGGGTCCGTGTAGGCGACCCACCTCTTAAATAGATGAATAGTTTGTCCTGAAGGGGAATAGATATACAAAAGATTGCGCAGTATAGTTGGTGAATTTAAAATGAAAAATAAATTTCCCAAATGGGTACTTACAAGCAAGGAGTCAGAATTAACTCAGTATCTAGGCATTGTGCAGACTAGGGGCTGCACTCCCATTAGTAGAGTGACTAATGTGGAACCAGGATTATGTTGGTAAAATATAGCAAATTTATTGACACAATCTATAAAATAAAATGAAAATGGCACAATGTCCAAATAAAACCGGTACGCGTTTCACCACTCACATATCTCCATTAAAGCTCATTCTACTAGAGCTATGTCCACATCTTGGGCTCTGAGGGCTTCAGCTAACCTTCTTAAATTTGTTCTGCAGGCACCTTGTCATCTTTTCACACATTTGCTAAACATTACAAATTACATACTGGCTTCGGAAGATGCAACTTTTGGGCACAAGGTGTTACAAGCAGTTGTGAAATGAGTCCCTACCTTAGGGGATTGCTTTGGATATCCCTGTTGTAAAGCAATGCCTCTAATCTGCAGGGAAAAGCATACATTTTTTTACTTACCGTAAATTTATTTTTCCTGAAGATTAGAGGCAGTGCTCCCTTTCCACCCCTGATTTTCTAATAAACTAAATTTTGCAGTTATCAGGCTGTTGTCTTTTCTGGGGCTATTTGAGGTAAGAGGCACTTTATAGTGCCAAATGTAATTTGGGGGAGATATTTAAAAATGTAGGGGTTTGCCTGCCTGTTTTTCCCTCCAGATTAGAAATCCCTGTTGTAAAGCAAAATTTATGCTTTCTTATCTTCTGAAATTTTCTGAATGCCACTTGTGCTCCTGTATGTTTCTTCACAAGGCTGGAAGGATCCTATGTCATGTAACCTAATTCTAATTCTTAAGGTCTGGATGCCATGCGGGGAGAGCAAGTGGAGTCTTTAAATGGATGCTAGAACAACTGCAGCTTAATGTAATTGTTCTGGTAAGTATAGTCAGTCCCTGCAGGCTTTTTGATATAAACACTGCCTTTTCAGAGACAAGGCAGTGTTTACATTACAGCCTAGGGACACCTCCAGTGCCCACTCCCAAGATGGCCACTGGAGATACTTCCTGGCTAATTATTGCACAATGTGTAGCACTGATCTTCAGCATCTCCACGCTCTGCATGGAGAGACTGAACTTTTTTCATAGTGATGCATTGATTTATCAGTTTCCCTGAGCCATTACCACCACACTACAAACCTTAATGATGTATTGCCTCTAAGGTTGCCTTACTCTAATCGCCGCACACTACACTGTCTCCTTGGGGGACGTTTATCGCACTTTGTTGTTCTGAAAAGTGATGTAAAGATGTAAAAGGGGAGGAGTGACCAATGAATTGTACCTCTTGATTCCACTGACATCATTGGTGATTGCCCATTACGTGGTACGTTTTTAAGAACACACTTAAAACGGCACTGTAGGCACCATAACTGCTTCATCTCAATATGGAGTACCTTGATGCTATCTTTTCGTTGAGAATTAAATAAATTTTATTATTTTGATGTTACACAAGAGTCCCCAGCAGCCCACCCCATCTGCTGCTTGAGCTAATGAGGAAGCATTTGCCTGAGCAGCAACAGACAGCTATGATTGGCTGAGAGTGTCAGCTGACTGTATTCAGCCTATTACAGTGCTATTGCAGAAATGATGACAGATGGTATGACTAGTATGTCTGTAATCTCTGACTTAGCCATACCTTCAACAGGGGCTGAACTATGGGAAGCCAGGGACTCTCATGAAGTGTTAAACTGCTTGAAAATGGTTTAACACTGATTAAATGGACAGTGCCAGGGGACTCTGGGCAGTATACCCAGTCCAATGAGATTAAATGGTTATATTGCCTACAGTGTACGTTTTAAGGTTTGCTTCAAGAATCACAACCATAGCAGCCTACTGGTAATGTGGTTGACCATTTTGAAATGCTTCGACCTCTTACCTAGTCCTACCAAGCACTAAGAATCCTCTCTTGCTGACCGTGACAAGTATACCAAATCCTGGCCACTCCGCTCTCCAGTAAATTCACTTTTCCTCTTTGCTACAGAATATCCAGCTTCCTCTAAGATCTTATTCAAGCTAACCCCTTTTATAATTGTGTCTGGTCCTGCTCAAGCATTGCAGAAATCAGACCATGTAAAGACAGTACATTTGCCACTGTGCATGTAATCAATACAAGCATAATTGGTCTAACTATGTAACTAAGTAACGGCTGTAATAGTAATTTTAAAGATATATATATATAGTCCCTGCTGGGCAATATCTGCCTTTGTACAAGTTGTAAAGAAAGATTCATCTTCAGATAGTCTGATACTAAACACTATTTCATGCTGTGAAACCTGTTTATTTCACAAAATGTTGTGTAGTTGATACATAACCTTTTTCAGTTCAATGCCTTTATGATACAAAACAGGAAATGCTCTACATTGCTGCCTTTCCTTGAAAATAGGGCTGCTTAAAGGGACACAAAAGGCACCAAGACCACTTCAGCTCATTAAAGTGGTCTGTTGTACACAGTCCAAGGTCCTAAACCCTGCAATGGTAATTATTGCAGGTTTTAATAAACTGCAGTAAGTACCCTTTGTGGGTTAACTCCACCTATACATGAGGGACAATACTAATGCGAGCACAGCCATTGCTGCGCATGTGCATTTGGTCTCCCGTGCCGGCTGACATTGACTTGGGAGGAGCAGAGACGGAGCCCGAACCAGCGCCGAAGGACATCGGTGCTGGACTCAAGTAAGTGACAGAAGAGGCTGGCGGGAGGGGTGGGGTGGTTGCATGGTAGGGGGCACATCTTTGGTTTGCTAGCACTAAAGTTTACATTTGACCCTTATCTCGAATTGTTATGCAATAACCCAGGTATCATTATGTATACATTATAATAATGAATGGGAAAACCAGTAAATCTATAAATATCACATATCTGCAGTTAATGTCTGTTTTTTTTTTTATTTTTTTATTATTTTTCACTCGACAGACAAAGCAAGTATACATTAACTGTTGGGCTTTCGCAGAAGCCAACTGAGATACAGTTCGTGAAAATAATATGCAATTTGAACAGTACAAACCGAACGGTACTACACATGCCCAATCCTGAACCTTTTGTGGCTTGCATCCCATCGAGGGTATTTTCAATTTATGGAGCAGGCATGTCAGTGACCTTTGAAACCCTTTTCAACCAGCCCAAGGGCTTTTCTGTTCCTTCAAACCTTTTAGTCATGCCTGGTAAAAAACAAAATTAAAAATAAACTGCCCCCTCCTGAAATCAGGGGAATGGCCATAATAAAAAGAGAAAAGAAACTCCTGCTAAGAGGGAGTTAGTGAAAGAAGCGGGAAAAAAAAAGGGAACTATTAACAGAAAGAAAAGAATGAAAAGAAGAAAATAGGCAGAGGGGGAGGGGGCGAAGGAAGGGGGGGGGGATGAGGGCCCCCCAAGCATCATATGTTCTTCAGTAGGGGCTTCTGTTGTCGCTATTGCCGGTTCGGATCCTTTCTCTAACCAATCCCCGTCAGTCGCTTCTTGAACCTAATGCGCTGTTGTCCCACAGTTTCTGGAAAGTCCCAATCGTCCCTTTTACCCTTGCTGTCAGGTCGTCCATTATTCTACATTCCCTTATTCTGGATATAACCCCCGGGAATTTTGGGCCCTCTGGTGAAAGCCATGCGGTTGCAATTGCTAGGCGTACACTTAGTTATCTTCTGTATTAACTTCTGCTCCCTCCTGATCCATCCTTCCACTGACCTATTGAGCAAATATACCCAAGGGTCCAAAGCCAGGGGCCTATTGACAGTCTGTTTCAGCAGATCCACAACAGACCTCCAGAAGTCTTGGGTTTTTGGGCACTCCCACCACATATGGGCCTAAAGTTCTCTGGTCGTAGTGGGTCTTTGTTCGGTTTGGGCAGTAATACTATGGTGGCCAGGGTCCTATCAGGATCTAGCCATCCTCCCCTCCTCAGGTCATCGAACAGTCACACTAGTTGTGGTACGAGCTCCTCTCTAAACGATTTGTAGTATGAGCCGTCGAATCCATCTGGCCCTGGCGCTTCGTTGCCTTTCAGGATTGATATGGCTTTGTCCACTTAATCTTCAGTAATGTCTGTTGCTAGGCTAACTATCGCCTCTCTATTTAATCTGTTCATCCCTAGACTGTCGAGGTAAGTGAGGATATGTTGTTCCTCCTCATTTGTGTTGCCATCTGGTGTGTGATTGTACAGCCGCTTACAAAATTCCTCAAATACCTTGGTTATCTCACTTGGTTTGGATTTGGTTGTGCCGTCTGGATGTTTAATAGCTGTGATGTGGGGCCGGACCTGTCTGGGTCGCAACGTCCTGGCCAGTAGAGTGTCCATCTTGTTAACGTTTCCAAAGTATGCCCGTCTCGTCCAGGTCATGGACCTAGCTGTGTCGTCTAGTAATAGTGTACGAATAGATCGTCTGCGCTTAACTGTTCGTAGGTATCTCCCCCAGGTGCAGTTTTGTGTTTTTGCTTGAGGGTTCTCAACTGTCCCAGTAGGTTTTCCAGCTGTTGATGTTTCAGTTTTTTCTTTCTGGTGTCAAATTTAATCAAGGTCCCCCTCACTACAGCCTTATGTGCCGCCCACACCGTACCCACACTTACTTCCGGGTTGTTATTTGTATCAAAATATTCTGTAATCTCCTTCCGAATCTGCTCTTTTATTTCAGGGTCCCGTAACAGGGACTTGTTCAGTCTCCACGTCCACGGCGATGCCTAGCAGAGGTTACCCAGGATGATGGATACATCGGCGTGGTCGGACCACGATATATTGCGTACTAGCGACCCGACTACCCGAGACATTCCCGTCCCGTTGGTCAGGAATAAGTCGATCCTTGAGTAGGTTTCGTGTAGGGCGGAATAAAATGAATAGTCCTTCTCTGCCGGATGTTGGTCTCGTCATATGTCTATCATCCCAGTGTCAGCTATGAACTCTTTGAGAAGCCGGCCTAGACCACCCTGTGACCTTGGTATGCCGTCTCGGGAGCTCCTGTCCACCACTAGACATGGTGCCGCGTTGAAGTCGCCCCCCATATATACCATACCGTGTGGTAGCTCTGAGAGCCTCTCCCGTAGCATATTCCAGAAACTGGGGTCAGGTCGATTCGGCGCATAAATATTTATCAGATGAATGGTGTGGGAGTGCAGGGTATCTGAGACCATGACATAGCGGCCCTCTGGATCAGCCTCATGGGATGTCACCTGGAAGGGGCAACTGCTTCTGATAAGGATGGCTACACCATTACATTTTCGGTGAGCCCTAGCTTCATATGTTCCATTATACGCCTGGCCTCTCAGTTTGAACTTGGCTTGTTTAGGCAGATGGGTCTCCTGTATGTACGCTATATCTGATTTTATCCTTTTTAATTCTTTAAACATAAGGCGGCGCTTCCTGGGAGCGTTGAGTCCCTTAACATTCAGTGTCACTATCTTAATCTCCATTGTGTGTAGTACTCGTCCCTACCATGTGCATTAGTCGCGTCAGCTTTCCCGTCTCTCACCCCACCATTCAATAAAAACATGGCAACATTTCATTCTTTGTGTGTTGTTAGTTTAAGCAGACTGTGATTGTCTATTGTTGTGACTTAGATGATGATCAGATCACATTTTATGATCAATTTGTGCAGAAATCCATATCATTCCAAAGGGTTCACATACTTTTTCTTGCAACTATATATATCTATCACACATATCCTAATTTTGCAGTACACATTTCTATAGCTTGCATATTTTTTTTAAAGATTGCCAATGAGACATTTGCAATATGAAGCTACCTTTTGGTAAAGAAATATATGCCAAATGATTATACAACATCTGTTCATCCCTAGGAATTGTTACTTAGCAACAGTTTGCTCACTTGCGAGGGTCCTTCAGATGAACTCCTTCACACTGACAGTTAAAAAATGTAAAGTACGCTTTATGTTCTAGTTCTATGTTCACTTGACTTTGCAGTGATATTTGTTTGTAGAAATAGCATGAATAGTTGTCCCTATAATTTTAACTGTTTCTTTGCATATGTAAGTAGACATGCTTAAAAAAAAAAAGCACACAAAACCAATGCTTATTTGTGCATGGCACAGCTCTTATTTAGAAAGTTGTAAATTTAGTCCTGGCAAAATATCGGCTTTAATGGCTCAGTCATTATCCTCAAACAAATCACAATAAACACTGCTTTATAGTGCTGTGTTTTAAACTTGTGTTAATTATGGGATATTTGATTTGCACACAAATGGTCAAGTGGCTTTCATTCATCTACAGCCCAGCAGGGAAATATTGTCAGTCTTTAGAAGCAACTTGCAAGATATTTTTTAGTATGTTTATGTATGCTTAAACAAACAAATATGTATTCCTAAGGCTTTAGTTTTTATGTAACTGTACTAATGTCCCCAGTGCCGTGTGAGAGCTCTAAAGGGTGAATTTTATTATTTATCACTGTATCAGCGTTCTAATTTAGTCTCCATCTTACTGGCATGCCTCTTCTGCATTATTGAGATTAATGATCTCAGGCAATCCAATATTTTCCCATTGAGATAAAGTGGTTTGGGTGACTATAGTGTTCTTTTACCTTAGAGAGGGTTCAGAGAGGGGCTACTAAACTGGTTCTATGTTTCTATGTTTAATTATAGTGTCCACACAGAAAGCGCTCAAGTTTGATGAAGTGCGTTGCGTCTGGAGTCTGTCATATTTATGACAGTTTATAAAAGAGCTGATTTCAATAGTTTTTCACTATTAGAACTGAGAGGAGAAACACCATTCTGGCTGTCAGGCAGCCAAAAGCGATTGTTGTCCTAATTGGAGGGTGAGGGGTTGGCTGTTTTTATTAGGGTCAGAGAGATTGGCAATCTTTTCACTCTGCAGCTCTTAAGGCCAAATGACTGGGCATTTTGTATTTGTTATTATTGGGCTCAAGGGTCTTTGAGATCTGCTAGCCCCTTTCAATTGTTATCCACTGCCCAACTCTCACAGGCCTGGAGCAAGGTGTAGGGGTAATTTTCCAGGCATTGTCCAGTTTTATATTACCCTTCACCCCATCATATAAGGAACCAGTAGAGAAGTTTGACAGGAGCCTGGTCTGTATGTCTGTCTCTTCCTCTCCCTCTCCCTCATCACATACTCCAGCCAGACATGATTGTGTTTAATTGAACCTTTTATTTTCCCATTCAGTGCCACAGCCTGGGTGTGCTGCTTTCTACTGTGGTACTGAAATGGTTATGCTAGGTAACCTGGTTGTCATCTGGCATCATAATTTCTAGTGGAACCTCCCATCTTTTTCCACTAGAAGTAAGATTAATATGGATGGCCTTGTTTTTTCTACAATTTCCTACAGAATCTTTGAAAGCTTTTTTTTTTTTCCCCATGGTAAGACAAGACATATGCCAGCTAGTAATATTATTTTGACATACTTTTGACACTTTACTAGAATAAAACAGTGTCAAGCTATAATAAAATGACCCTGCGGTCTACAAAATATGCTCATGTCAAAAATTGGAAAAATTCCAGTAGTGAGTTGGTTTGAGTGTCCAGAAGTTTTATTTCTTTGGGTTTTTTATTCTCCTGTTGTTTTTGTTGTTGTTGTTGTTGTTTTTGTTTCCAATCAAGTTGTTTATAGTTGCCATTTATTGTGTAACAAATAAAAGTGTGAAATGTTTAAAGTACCACTAATGGCACCCAGACCACTTCATCTCAATTGAGTGATCTGGGTGCAGTGACCATGTAGTTATCCTTGCTATGTGAAAAATACTGTTCTCCTACATTTGATTGGAGCAGAGTGTCAATTTGCTGCCCATGCATATAAGCCTCCCAATGCTTCTCTATAAGAAAGCATTGGATTGGCTGAGATCATCAAGGTTGATGATCTCCATTAAGGAGGCATGACTGTAGAGAGCAACGTGGCGATGAAGAAAAGTTTAAGTGGCTCAATCACCTTAAACTTAACTTTCCCTTATTGTTTCCTTTACGCTTTCGCTTTCATAATCTGTTTTTCTTTTCTTCATTTCTGATCTATTTCTCTTTAAAACGAAGACAAAGTAAGGACTATTTTGTCTTATGTATTTTTCCTACACTTGGCAATATTGCATTGGATCTTAATGCAAGCTTCAACCTTTGTTAGCTTGAGAAAGGAAGAATTGTTCATCATAGGAAAAAATACATAAGACAAAGTAATCCCTATTTTGTCTTCTGTCTTAAAGAGAAATGATCAGAAATGAAGAAAAGAACATTCTTAAAGCAGAAGATAAGGGGAAACGATAAGAGAAAGGTAAGTTTGAGGTTGCAGAGAAGCTTTAAGTAAACTGCTTCAGCACAGTATAATGTTATGAATATATTTATATTTATAAGGCTGTAGTGTTCCTTTAAGTCTGAAACACACAAAGTGAATCTGTTGTGACAGGTTTGCCTGCTTTCTGCTTTGATTGCTCTGCTTGGTGAAATTTCCCAGTGCAAACTTCCTCCATAACACCAAAATGCTGGCTTTACTGCTTGGTGCTATGCTCCGTGGCCGTGCCAGATGTTTTAGATATGAAGTAACTATAGCAATCAGAACATGTGATGTGGTTGATATTATCAATATAATTATTTATATAGCACCTATTTCTGGAGCATTTTACAATTTTAGAATGGGCATAATTGACAACAAGTAGTTGACTGACATACAAAATATGAACAGAGACAAGAGGTGAAGGCTATTGCCGGAGAGCAAAATAACATATAGGATGTCAGTCATGTTTCCATGTCCGTTTATTATTTAGCATAGAGGGTAATGTAATTAAGTGTTGGAATGACCTACTTTTAAAAAGCTTTTTTCTTTCTCCTAATCTAGACATTTGCTACCACAATGTATACATGAAGTAGTAGTGTGTACCATGCCAGGTATTCTTTAAATGTTGGTCAAATTTTGTTTTAGGATTATACCCTTATCCTGCCTTGCAGCAGTTTTCTATGTGGCTCTTTCACCATGTACATTTCTCATATCTCTTCAGTCCACATAGCTGTCTCTCACCTTACAGTAATCAATCCAATACCTTCACCAGCTCTCTTCCTCCACAGCTATTGTGCCTTTGTTCCTGCTCCGCTCACTACTTCTGTTTCCTTCCAGCCTTTAGAAACACATTCCTACTCCTATAATGTGCCCTTTCATCCCTGTCTTATCTTGAGTTCTCTTGGTGCCACTTCCCGCCTCCACTACTTACAACTTAGAGCTGAAAGCTCCTAAGCAGAAGCAGGGCTAGCTCATTGGCTGCACTTCTGGACTTAACTCAGACAGAGAGCATTTTTGCTCTGTTGGAAGTAGTAGAGGCAAGGAGTGGCCCCCAGCAGGCCCAGGTAAGAAGCCAAACCATTCTAAAATGCTCTTTTCTTTTCCAATTGCTAAAAAAACGCATTAAGATACACTTGTCCTGCTTGACCTTCTTTTGTAGGGAACACCTTTAGCGTTCTGAATATGTATACAAGACCTGAAACAATGGTTGAAATTTTATATTTGCAACCACAACCAAGCAAGCACTCCCAAACCAGCCATATTCCAAAATAGAAACAAAAGATGGGTGCATGTACTAAAATATTATTACGAATCAACCCAGAATAGTGAGTTGACACATAAAACATACCAAAATGTAGTTTTCAGTGTGCAGCTAAAAATTTATTATATGTAAAACATAGGATAACACTTATACAGTATACCACTTTTACACCACTGCATACATATTCATTTACTAAAAGAACTGCACTCTTATAAAAGCACAATATGATTTCTATGGTTACTTCTAGCCCCATCAATCTTTCTCCTCGTACCACCACGGTTTCCTAATAATGTTATACACCTTTCATGCCGACCTGGTGGCTCTGTATCCTGAATATAACAGGAGGCACGGTGATTTATTTCTGGAATATTATTATTGTTTTCTTAGATATGACTTCTAGCAGAGCGCATGGCTCCTAATTGTTGATTAGAATATCATAAGGGCCCAATGTCTGCTAAGCAGAGCGGCCAAAAGGAAAACGAATACGATACATGAATGTCTGTTGGATGCAAAGTTTCACACCTAGTGAGGGGATGCAGGAAGGAATCCAATTCACAACCTTTTTCCTATGATTTGACAAATAACTGCTAACTGCCAGATTAACCCTTTCAGTGCTGTAATCATCCTTACCACCATTTCATGTATCCACTATGCACGTTACATTTATTGACCGTATTTCTGCAGTAGAACAATAAATTATGCTTGGTGGGCATGACACTGTATGTTGATTATGTTGCATTTGTACTGCCTGCTAAGAAGTGTTGCTGGTGCTTTTATTAAAGAAAAGTACATTCGCTTGTAGGTGCACGGAGCTTCACCACCCTAGACGCTTCCTTTTATTAAGACAGCATACTGTCTTAATTTATGGGGGGTGGGGGCGAGAAGATTGCATGTAAACTATGTATTTCTCTCTTAGTGTCACAAACATTTGAAGAAGTGAAAGAACACAAGGGTCAGAAGATAAATATAAATTGTTTAATGAAGTCTTATTTCAGTGCATGTGTTTAGAATTTTCACCATTCTGTTTGTTTAGTTACCGTAAGTCTTGAATTTTGTGTAAACCTGCCTTTTGAGTTTTGTACTGAAAAATGATCAATAAATGAAATCATAAACAGAATGTGATATCAGTGGTATAATACTTGATTATTTATATTTCCTAGTAATCTAGGATATGTATGTATTCCAACATTTCAAATGGTTATAGCAGGATATTTTTGTTTATTTCCTAAAATGTCCTGCTGGTAACTATTTAATAACCTGAAAATGTAATTGTGAACATCTCAGAATGTCACATTTCCATTGATTCCTGGTTAATCTTTTTTAATAACGTGTTTATATTCCTTTCTGTAGTAATTATTGAGTCAATGAAAGATATCCCACCTCTAAATGAAGACAGTGTGGTTTTTAAGGAAGATCGACATTCTATTGGAAAGGTACGTTGCATGAGTGATTAAAATTAAAACAAGATAAAGTGTGTGTGTGTGTATCTCTCTCTCACTCTCTATATCTATGTATAGTGGTGAGTGCCACTATACTTGTGTGTGTGTGTGTGTGTATATGTATGTATGTGTGTGTGTGTGTGTATGTGTATATATATATATATATATATATATATCACACACACAAGTATAGTGGCACTCACCCTTTCAATGAATCAGTAAAAGACTGCCTTGGTGCAATCCCACGCTGGATATGTAAAGCAAAAAGGAAAGAGATGCACTCTCAGGTCTTAGTAAAATATACTCGATATTATTTAATAACAGGTAACATACATCTGATCGACGTTTCAACCTCTTCAGGTCTTCCTCAAGATCTTGAGGAAGAGCTGAAGAGGTCGAAACGTCGATCAGATGTATGTTACCTGTTATTAAATAATATCAAGTTTTTTTACAAAGACCTGAGAGTGCATCTCTTTCCTTGTTGCTTTATATATATATATATATATATATATATATATATCTATATCTCTCTATATATCCTTGCAAATTGCCCTTCACGGTTAAAGGGACATTGTAGGCAATGTGTCTGCTTCATCTAATTAAACTGTTTATAGTTTCTGGAGTTCCCTGGTACCATCATTTCATTAAGACTTAAACTGTTTTTAATATTTTAATGCTCAACAAGAGTCCCTGGTAGTCTATCCCTTCTGTGCTGCTTTGGTTAATAAGGAAGTATTAGCCTGAGCAGCAATGGGCAACTGTGATTGGCTGAGAGTGTCAGCTGACTATCAAAGCTCAATCTGACAGTATGAATGGGTATGCGAACAAGGAATTGTGTAATCTCTGCCTTAGGCACACCTCCAGAAGGGGCTTATTTAATATTAAACATGGTTTAAAACTAAATGGAGGCACAGTGCTAAGGGACTCCATGCTCTATAACCATTTCAAAGAGATATGGTTATAGTGACTACAATGTCCCTTTAAAGAGTTACTCCAACCACCATGATCACTTCAGTAATTTGAAGTGGTCATGGTGGTTGGAGTATGTATGTACAACATTTCATTTTGAAACGCTGCACATACTGAGATTTTTAATTATGTTCTGGGGACTTGTTGCACTCCACATGTGCAGCTGTGACGGCTCGCAATTCTATTCAGCTCTGCCTATTGTCAAATCTGTGCATATTTTGGGTCTGTCATCAGCGTGTGCACTCCACACTGGCAACAGACATATTAATCTTCTTTTTGCAAGCAGAGCGCCTGCAAAGGGAATATAGCCTTCCCCTTCCCCTTCCTGGGGGTACTCCCATCTCCTTCTTCTAACACATGTGGGAAAAAAACTTCCTTCTCGTTGCTGTCCCGAGTTGGAGAGGATAGGACCTAAAGTATAATGCCCAGTAGGGTATTATGCTTTTAAAACAGACACAGGGAAAGAAAAAAACATTATCTGCCTGTTTATATAGTAAACATGGCTCTGGTGCAATGCGACTAATAGTGTGAAATTTTTGTGATGGGGTTGTGCATTTCATGTTTTAACACTTCTGCGTTGGAGGGGTTTCTCTTTGCTGAAACAGTTTTATGTAAAACATTTGAATATGATTTACCTCACCCTAGTGGAATTAGTCTAGAGCTATTCCTGGGCACATCTTAATATGTATGCAGAAGGATTAACCAAGTGTGAATTCTATAAAAACTGGATTGTGGGATATGGTGAAACTGAATACATTTGGTAATTACCATTCCAAGACTTTATTTTCCACAGTAATCTGGTTGCTGCATTTCTTCAGAAATCCCAGATGAACTAACAGTATACTTAATATTTAGTATTTTTAGCAAAAGATTGATTTTTTTTTTTTCATGTCCATTTAACACAATTGCTGATGTATGTAGCATTCTTTTTTTAAGATTAGTCTGCTTAACAATATTTATGTGAAACATTGAGGTTCGACTTCTTATATGAAAGTCAAAACAGATCCGTACAAGGAAAGAAAGTTTATTTCAGTCAGCTCAAAATCATTAATCAGAAAGAAAGTCTCAACTGTATGTTTTAAGACTGGTTTTATTCTGATTACTTTGGGGAAGAAAATAAACTTTTATTATAAATTTACAATAGAAGACTGCTTTCTTTTAGTCTTACATCTGTTCTTAATTGTTTATATGTGACAGACAAGGTAGTAAAACAATATTATCTTTCCTGTAAATATGGATAATTGTTTTACTAAAGTTTAAGCACAGGCATTCAGGATTTATTTGAACCAATCTGTCCTTTGTGTGCAGAGCCGATGTTTGTAGCAGGCATGCATTTAGCTAGAATTCCTCAGTGTGTCTGAGTGGAAAAGAAATATAGGATGCTTAATCTGTGACAAAAAGTCAGGAGCTATTAACAGTTTAATTGATACGCTTTTATGAAGAAGTGGGCTTTTAACGATTTTTTGAAGGAGACTGGGTGAGCATCTAACGGAGGAGGGAAGCGAGTTCCACAGGAACGGTGCAGCCCTCGAGAAATCTTGAAGGCGAGCATCAGAGGTGGGAATACGGACAGAAGATAGACGTAAGTCTTCAGCAGATCGTAAGGGCCTAGACGGGACATACTTGTGTATAAGGGAGGATAGATAGGTGGGAGCAGCATTATGTAGAGATTTGAAAGCAAGAACCAGAATTTTAAATTGAGCTCTATATTTTATAGGAAGCCAATGTAGGGACTGACAGAAGGGCGAGGCATGGGAGGTGCGGGTGGACAGGAAGATGAGCCTCGCCGCTGCATTCATTATGGACTGTAACAGCGCAAGTTGGGAGCACGTAAGACCACTGAGAAGCGGATGACAGTAGTCAAGGCTAGAAAGGACAGTGGAATGGACCAACACCTTAGTCGCATCTGGTGTTAAGTAGGGGCGGATGCGCGCAATGTTTTTGAGATGGAAATGACAGGCTTTGGCGATTGATTGAACATGAGGCTTGAAGGAGAGGTCGGAGTCAAAGAGAACACCTAGGCAGCGAGCCTGTGTGGTGGAGCTGATGGTAGCACCGTTGACATGGAGGGAGACACACAGGAATAACAACACTTGCGGGAGGAAAGACCAGAATTTCAGTTTTGGGCAAGTTTAGTTTAAGGAAGTGGGCAGCCATCCAGCTAGAAATAGCAGAGAGGCAGTCAGAGACACTAGTCAAGAGGGACAGGGAGAGATCAGGAGAGGACAGGTAGATTTGCGTGTCATCAGAATAGAAATGATATCGGAAGCCAAAGGAGCTAATGAGTTTACCAAGGGAGGCAGTATAGATGGAGAACAGTAGGGGACCAAGGACTGAACCTTGGGGGACACCAACAGAGAGGAGTTGGGGAGAAGAAGCAGAGCCAGAGAAAGAAACACTGAAAGAGCGCTGGGAGAGGTAGGAGGAGCACCAGGAGAGAGCAATATCTTGTAGACCGATATTGCGGAGGATGAGAAGAAGCTGTTGATGATCAACAGTGTCAAAAGCCGCAGACAGGTCAAGGAGAATTAGGATAGAGTAGTGACCACGAGATTTTGCAGCGAGTAGATCATTGGATACTTTGGTCAGTGCCGTTTCCACAGAGTGCTTAGCGCGGAAACCAGACTGAAGCGGGTTTAGCAGAGAGTTGGACTTGAGGAAGTCTGTCAATCTCGCATACACAATTTTTTTTCAAAGATCTTGGATGCAAAAGGCAGTAGCGAGATAGGACGATAGTTGGATGGGGAGTTAGGGTCAAGATTGGGCTTCTTTAGAATTGGGATTACAGTTCCATGTTTGAATGGCAATGGATATATACTAGAGGAGAGCGAGAGATTGAGAATTTTAGTGAGGTGGAGAAAGAGAAGACTGAGTACGGGTGAGATGCAAGGGAATTGGATCTAGGGAGCAGGTGGTGGGGCAGAAGGACTGGAGCAGAGCAGAAACCTCTTCTAATGTAGCTGGTGCGAATGAACATAGAACAGCAGAGGGAGTGAAGTTAGGGGAAGTATTGTAAGGGGAAGAAGAAAGATGAGAGCTCTCTTCTCTGATTTTAGAGCTCTTGTCAGTGAAGTGAGTTGCAAAGTCTGAGGCGGTCAAGTTAGTAGATGAAGGAGGAACAGCAGGGCGAAGAAGAGAGTTAAATGTGTGAAATAGTTGTTTGGGTTCGCGTGAGAGTGTGGTTATGAGGGTATGGAAGTAATTAACTTTTGCAGAGGAAAGAGCCAAGCTGTATGAGCTCAGCATAAATTTATAGTGGAGAAAGTCAGATGCACAGTGAGACTTTCTCCAATAGTGTTCAGCAATTCTGGAGCATTTTTGGAGGTGATATGTGTGGATGTATTTCACATAAAGAGGAACATGACATGAGTTTCAAACTGCACCCTCAATATGTTTTTGAACTGAATTTACCATTACTTTATCTACAATCACAGACTTGCAGGGCATAAGGGGGATTTAGAACCAAAAATATTGTAGCATGTTTTCAAGATTTGGTTGGGATGGGGTGCTGACCACAGCAACAGCCACCATAGGTAGGAACCAAATATGCAAATAAACCACAACATACTCATTTTCCTCTGACATGGTTGTATCAGTTACAAGAACACCTATTGTGATCATTTGTTTTGAATTTAAGAAAACTTTCAGGCCTCTGGAACTCCTCGGGTCATTAGGTCACATGGAGCAGGGCCGATTGGACACAGGGAGCAGGGGCTCTCAGGCCTTTAGAACACCGGGAGCAGGGGCCCTCAGGCCTTTAGCACACCGGGAGCAGGGGCCCTCAGGCCTTTAGCACACCGGGAGCAGGGGCCCTCAGGCCTTTAGCACACCGGGAGCAGGGGCCCTCAGGCCTTTAGCACACCGGGAGCAGGGGCCCTCAGGCCTTTAGCACACCGGGAGCAGGGGCCCTCAGGCCTTTAGCACAGCAGGACCAAACCTTGACTATAAAGCCTAGGGTTAGGCTAGACTTTATAGGGAGAACATAAGTACAATGTAGGGCCATCTGGGAACAGTCCTGTCTCTGCACAGTGTACACCAGCCTGCAACAGCACCAAAAAAAAGTAGCTGCACTCTGAGGTACTGCACTAGATTGAAAAAGTCAGAAAAGTAGAATTGTGACAAATGCAGCTTTAGACCCACTCATTCAAGCTATTCAATCTAGATTAAAAGTTTCAAAAAGAGAGGAAAAGTAACCAAAACAAAGCATTGTTCTTAAAGGCTTTCTGCAACCCTTTTTCACTGATGATAGAACAATGCCAAAAGAGAATTCTATCAGTCCCCTCTATAAAATTGTTGGAAGAGCATTTTTAAAATTGTTAAACTTATCTTAATCCAGTGCCTGGCGAAGCTCCCCGGTGTCGTGTGCTTGGCGCACACCTGTCTTATGTCATTGGAGATGTGCCGAGGTCCAATCAAAGGAGGTAGGGTGGGCGGGGATTTAAAAAAACAAACAAAAAAAACCTTGCAAATGGAGGTTTTGTGTTAGGTAGGGGAGACGAGCTCCCTTGCAGACGTAACAGAAGCCTTACATCTGTCGCCAGTGTGCAGTGCGTGCTGACAACAAATGTAATTTATGCACAGAATTGACATTATGAAGCCCAGGAAATAGTTTTGGGCTGCCTAAGTCATATATGGTGGGGTTGCAACTTGTCCCCAGCAAACATTTAAGTACTTCAAGCTGAAACACTGTACATCCAGACTCCTACCACCATGATTACTTCAAAAAGCAGACTTGTTCATGGTGGTTGGAGTAGTCCTTTAAAGTGATGAAAGTAAAGGGAAAAAAATCAAGATAATTTTATCAAGATGTATAATTTGTAAAAAAATAAATAAAAAAAAAAACAATTTGAGCCCATACAAAAGAGCAATATTAATGTTTTCTATTTTATCAATATGTTCCATACTTTTTGGTGTACACACACACACACACACACTATCTATACATTGTAGTAACAAAGCTTTTAGGAAACGTTTAGTTTCTTTAAACTGATTTAAAATAATGGTCCTTTCTCTCACATGTCAATTCATAGCTTAGTCTGGTTAACCCTCTATGCCGAGAACTGACTGCAAGTAAAGAGTAGTAGAAACCCTTTACTAGTGTCATTTCTGCACTCCTACACAGCACCTACAGGAAAAACATTGTAGTTGCTGTGTTCCTTTAGCCTTTTGCAATGCACACAGCTACTAAATCATGGAGCTTTGGACAGGAGGTAAGTAGCTGCTTAAAACCATACTGAACAATGAAATATATTCTTTATTTCTCAGATAAATGATACATACATCATGGGACTTTAGCCATTCTCGAGAACTTAACATGCACAACCGAAGCTAAAGGAAATACGAAAAATGTATTTATCTGTCCTAATAAATTTAATATTTCTTATGCCAAGACTTACAATACATTTTTAGCATTTATTGGTTAGATATTTAAGGAAGTGAATTTTTATATCAAACTTTTTAAAATTTGGTATACTGAGACTGTAAATTTAATAGCCGTTTTTAAATGCATAAACCTTATATTTATCCCCAAGCCGAATATAGTTGGGTTACAGCTGTAGTTATTCTGATTAGCAAAGTCTATACATTGCACAACTTTCTTTAACCCCTTAACGTTAGTATGTTCTGTACTATACTAAATATAGTGAGCAACGTGGAATGTCTCTGTATAGAATATTACCTTGTTCAAAAAGGATGGCCACATTTCATTGTAGGTTTCTTTAATTCATATCCAACATACACATGCGAACTTCTACTTATTAATTGGTTTTCTTTATGCCTTAGTATTTTTAATTGTAAGAGCTACATTTAACTTTTAAAGAAAATACCCAATTACAGTAAGGATATAAAAATAGCCTTCCCATTTTATCCACTGCATAACAAAAGAGAACTTGAGCATGAAGCATTGGTCATATCAGCTATTCTTTCTCATGTATGTTCTTTTAATCTTCTAGAACAGCGCCAGATGGTTAACTTGGAACCTTTGTTTAATAAAAGATATGATTTATGCTTCCACCAAATAAATGTTATTAATTATTTGCTATCTGCAATATTCCTGTGCGAGTTTTCTTTTCTTCTTTTTATTGAGCTCCTGTCCTGCTGCTGTTAAGTGTCATATTTCTTATTTTATCTTTAATCCACAGATATTTGAAATATTTGGTCCTGTTCCACATCCATTTTATGTGTTACGGTTTAATACGACAGATCAAATTAAAGAAAAAGATATCAAGATAAAGGATACTATGTATTTTGCTCTGAACATTGAAGACTTTACACAGTATGTAATACCTGATAAATTAAAAAGGTGGGTATTCCAAACCTTACTCTGCACAAATCAAATACACGTTTAACTAGAATGTGTTGGCGCTATATACATGGCAATAATAATGTAATGATGTTTGGTTTAAAATGTCTCATGTGCAAAAGTAGCCAGCATACAACTAAAACATCTCGGACATCTTGGAAGTCTGATCTGTCATGTAATATTTTGGTACATGATGTGCTACATTTGGCCTCAAATTCCAGTTGCTAATAATGGGAATAACACAAATGTGGAGATGGTCATGACATAAGGCATGACTGCTTGAGCATGAAATCCTAAATTTCCCTAATTTTGAAAAAGCGCTACGTTTTCTATCAAATTTACTGGTAACGCAAGGATCTGTATTTTTTTACACTTCCCAATATGTTTTTTTTTTTTTTTTTTTAGCCTTATGTGATTGTTACCATAGTGTTCACTGATTAGAGTACCTTTTTATTTATTTTTTACCAAAACAAGCAGTTATATAACTCACGCCCATGCAGTCTCACTGCTTAAAGAGACACTCCCACCACCCTTCACCCTGCAAGTGTATTTACTGTAGTTTTTATAAACTGCAATAATTACCTTGCAGGGTTACGTATTCCCTCTGGTGGCTGTCAGACACAGACTAGCCGGACTTCCGTTTTCTTAGAAAACGAAAAGTGTTTTGAAACGACTCTGGTCGTCCTCACGCTATGCATGAGGACCTCCAGCGTCACCAGAATCCCCAAAGAAAAAAAAGCATGGGATAATGCTTTCCTATGGGGAGGTCTAATGCACGTGCGGCAGGTCTCCCTCGCCGGCTGACGGGGGAGGAGCATGGGCGGAGCCTGACCCAGCGCCGGGGTTTTAACCCCTTCAGCAACATGTGTAGCGGGGTGGGAGGGAGAGAGGCACTGCAGGGTCCTGCATTGTCAGGAAAACTGATATGTTCTCCTGCCACTGGAGAGTCCCTTTAATTCTCTGTATTTAGGGGTTACATCACTTTGCATTTGCAGCCCATGTCAAACATCCCTGTATGTAATATGCACAGACTTCTTAAACACTTCCTGTTAAGTGAAATCTGTTTATACTTTATTGCACAATCTAATCTAATTAAATATACAAGATATCTCCTGTGCTGTTAATAGCTTGCCAGACCTTGCAGGAGCCTCTTTTGTGTGATTAAAGTTAAATTTACAAAGCATGAGATAAAAACTTCTAAAATAAGTTAACCACTAATTGAAAATGAGTCACACCCAAGGGAGGTGTGGATAGGGCTGCATGGACAGAAACCAAGAGAATAAACTTTTAAAGGGCAGAGAATAGAGCAATGAATCTTCAGAGGCATGAACTATACACTAAAACTGCTTCACCAAGCTAATATTGTTTTGGTGATTATAGTGCCTTTATATGTGCAAAGGGTAGAGTGGCACAAAGAAAAAAAGGAAATTATGAATTTGCAGAATAATGTCCAAATGTTTAATATATGAAAATTGTATCACCTGTTTTAGAATGTGTAAAACCTAAAATTGGGCACCTAAAATTGTGTTTTGCCAAAATATCTTTAGTACTGCAGTAAGATAAAGTTCAGAAAAGTATGAGCACCAAAGGATTTATAGTAGTCGTAAGAAACTACTTCTAGTGCCCTTTTATGTTGAATTATATACTTCTAAAACAGGGCTTGAAAATCCCAGGCGACAAAAAATGTTGCTCTGGTGCCTGGGATTTGAAGCCCTTTAGCGAAAAGCAGGATGGTAGAACAATGGAGCCGGCTGGTCGCCCATGGCAGCGTTCGGTGGCCACCCTGGGCATCATGCATGCGGCTGCCCGTAGGCCTGTGAAGACAGCCGCCCTGGAGATCGTGTAGGCAGCAGGTTGGGACAGCTTGCGAGGGAGCAGTGATCTCCTAGCGGCTCCTTTCTGCTCCCTCACGCTGTATAGTGATGCCGGGAGATGGAATATTACCTAATTCGAGCCCTGGCATCACTACAGGGAACAGAGAGGAGCTGCAGGTAGATTACGGCTTCCTCGCACGCAGGATAAGCGAGCAGCCCCACTGGACCCCAGCGAAACATCCACTCCGCTCTCCAAAAGGTAGGGTGGCTGGGTGTATTAAAATGTGTGCCTGTGTGTGTCTCACTCTGTGTGCCTGTGTGTGTCTCTCTCTGTGTGCCTGTGTGTGCCTGTGTGTGTCTCTCTCTGTGTGTCTCTCTCTGTGTGCCTCTCTCTGTGTGCCTGTGTGTCTCTCTGTGTGCCTCTCTCTGTGTGCCTGTGTGTGCCTCTCTCTGTGTGCCTGTGTGTGCCTCTCTCTGTGTGCCTCTCTCTCTCCCTTTGTGTGTGTGTCTCTCTCTCTCCCTTTGTGTGTGTGTGTCTCTCTCTCCCTGTGTGTGTCTCTCTCTCCCTGTGTGTGTCTCTCTCTCCCTCCCTGTGTGTCTCTCTCTCCCTCCCTGTGTGTCTCTCTCTCCCTCCCTGTGTGTCTCTCTCTCTCCCTGTGTGTCTCTCTCTCTCCCTGTGTGTCTCTCTCTCTCCCTGTGTGTCTCTCCCCTGTGCTCTCCCTGTGTGTTCTCTCCCTGTGTAGCCCCCTGTGTGTGTTCTCTCTCCCCTGTGTGTGTGCTCCTCTCCCTGTGCCCTCTCTCCCCTGTGTGTGTCTCTCTCCCTGTGTAAGTCTCTCCTGTGTGTGTCTGCCCTCTCCTTGTGTGTTCTCTGTGGTTCTCTCTGTCTCTCACCTCTGTGTCTCTCTGTGCTCTGTGTAGTGCCTCTCTAGCCTGTGTGTGTTCTCTCTCAGCTCGTGTGTGTGTGTCTCTCTCTCTAGCCTGTGTGTGTGTGCCCCTTCTCTGTGTGTGTGTGTGTTCTCTCTGTGCTCTGTGTGTGTGTCTCTGTGCCTGTGTGTGTGTGTGTTCTCTCTCTCTCTGTGTGTGTGTGTGTTCCTCTCTCTCTCTGTGTGTGTGTGTGTCTCTCTCTCTCTCTGTGTGTGTGTGTGTGTCTCTCTCTCTGTGCCCAGTGTGTGTGCGTGTCTCTCTCTCTGTGCCTGTGCCTGTGTGTGTGTGTGTCTCTCTCTCTCTGTGCCTGTGTGTGTGTGTGTCTCTCTCTGTGCCTGTGTGTGTGTGTCTCTCTCTGTGCCTGTGTGTCTCTCTCTGTGCCTGTGTGTCTCTCTCTGTGCCTGTGTGTCTCTCTCTGTGCCTGTGTGTCTCTCTCTCTCCCTGTGTGTGTGTCTCTCTCTCTCCCTGTGTGTGTGTCTCTCTCTCTCCCTGTGTGTGTGTCTCTCTCTCCCTGTGTGTGTCTCTCTCTCCCTGTGTGTCTCTCTCTCCCTGTGTGTGTGTGTCTGTCTCTCCCTGTGTGTGTGTGTCTCTCTCTGTGTGTCTCTCTCTCTGTCTCTCTCTCACTCTCTGTGTCTCTCTCTCTCTCTGTGCCTGTGTGTGTGTGTGTCTCTCTCTCTCTCTGTGCCTGTGTGTGTCTCTCTCTCTGTGCCTGTGTGTGTCTCTCTCTCTGTGCCTGTGTGTGTGTGTCTCTCTCTCTCTGTGTGTGTGTGTGTGTCTCTCTCTCTCTGTGCCTGTGTGTGTGTGTCTCTCTCTCTGTGTCTGTGTGTGTGTGTCTCTCTGTGTGTGTGTGTTCTCTCTCTCTGTGTGTGTGTGTGTTCTCTCTGTGTGTGTGTGTCTCTGTGCCTGTGTGTGTGTGTGTGTTCTCTCTCTGTGCCTGTGTGTGTGTGTGTCTCTCTCTCTGTGTGTGTCTCTCTCTCTGTGTCTGTGTCTCTCTCTCTGTGTCTGTGTCTCTCTCTCTGTGTCTGTGTGTGTCTCTCTCTCTCTCTGTGTCTGTGTGTGTCTCTCTCTCTCTCTCTGTGTCTGTGTGTGTCTCTCTCTCTCTCTCTGTGCCTGTGTGTGTGTGTCTCTCTCTCTGTGCCTGTGTGTGTGTGTCTCTCTCTCTCTGTGCCTGTGTGTGTGTGTCTCTCTCTCTCTGTGCCTGTGTGTGTGTGTCTCTCTCTCTCTGTGCCTGTGTGTGTCTCTCTCTCTCTGTGCCTGTGTGTGTCTCTCTCTGTCTCTGTGCCTGTGTGTGTGTGTGTGTGTCTCTGTGCCTGTGTGTGTGTGTGTCTCTCTCTCTGTGCCTGTGTGTGTGTCTCTCTCTCTGTGCCTGTGTGTGTGTCTCTCTCTCTGTGCCTGTGTGTGTGTCTCTCTCTCTGTGCCTGTGTGTGTGTGTCTCTCTCTGTGCCTGTGTGTGTGTCTCTCTCTCTCTCCCTATTGCACACTGTGCAGCACTGACACAGGACTCTCTAGTGGCATCTGAGTGACTGTCACTAAAGGTTTTACTAGGCAGCAATGTAAACACTGCCATTTTCTCTGAAAAGGCAGTGTTTACATTGAAAAGGCTTCAGGGACAGACTACAGGCACCAGAACAACTACATTAAGCTGTAGTGGTTCTGATGACTATAGTGCCCCTTTAAGAATTGTATATTTCTCGTAAATTAAACTTCACTATTTTTTTTTTTTTTTTTTAAACTGGCTCCTAACATTTTTAGCTGGCTCCTAGATTTCGAGCAAATTTGTCAAGTCCTGTTCTAAGATTTGCCTTGTCATTGAAAAGCCACGAAAGATTACCATGTATTTTTTTTTTTTTTTGATAAATGCTTATAGCCAAATTGAATTGCCTGCCTTAGGTGAAACACGGTATTCTGGGAAGCTACATCCACAGAGTATCAGTTGGCAAGAGAGGGTTTATTAGCAACAGAACAAATTGGTTTATGCTCTAAATACTATCCAATGCATAATACATTGAAATTAAACAAGCATTGAGTTTGTTAAATTGGGTTACTCATTTTAACTAAACATTTTGGTTGGTGGATATTTCATTTGTCTCTATATTTTAATGATCACATAGATAAGAACACTGAATTGAAAAAATATCAGTTAACTTTTTGCTTGCTAATTATTACTATTAGAGTATAAGTAAGTCAGCTGCAGCATGAGCCTGATCACCTGTTTTATACACAAGTCTACTTTTAGAACATATTTTGGTCTATTCATCAAGAGCAAAATGTACAATATTGTTCTTGTGTACATTTTTCCCAAACAAATTGCTCTCTAGGTCTCAATGTAATTATGTTCATAAGGGCCCCAGAAAGTGACAGTGTTGCTTTAATGCTGTGGTTCTGGTATCTATAGCATGTCCCTGCAGTCTTAGCACTGTAAACAATGCCTTTACAGAGAAACGGAAGTGTTTACATTGCCGGCTAGTAACACCTCTGACAGTCACTAAGACCTCCACTAGAGGTGCTTACTAGTCCATTGGTGCAGCAGAGTGTTTTGTCGTGGATGCATAATAGCCTCCAAGTGCTCTCCTATGGGATGTGGCAAGCGCAGCCTTGGAGAAAATGTAAGCTTTATAAACCTTTAATTTTCATGGAGAGGAGGACCAGAAGACTATTTGATTCCAGCACTATAGTG